AAAAAAAATTTTCTTATTCCTTTATTAATTCCAACTAATATAATTACAATGGACAAGAAAGACTTTTTGTTAACGAAATTTTATCAATTGTTATTAAAAAGTTCAAATTAATACTGATTTTTCTGTTCAAAATTTTATTATTTTTGTTCAAAAATTGATATTTTTTCTTGTATTCCTTATTTTTGTCGAAATTTAAACCAATTCGAGAGTGTAAAATTAATAAATATATAACAAAAAATGAGTCATAAATGTGAATAAAACTTTCAAAAAATGTGATTCAAGATTGATATTATAATCAAAATTTTGATTATCATTAAAACAAAAAACCTGGTACAAAATAAAAACTAAGTTAACGTCATCCAAAAATGAACGTGTGGACGAGTCTTCTTGGATCGACATTTATTTAACTTTCTATTTTTGTCAACCACAAACTTTGTCCTGACTATTTTCTGTACGCGCTCCGCGATTACGTAACGCCATCCAAAACGACGACAACTACAAAAATGGGTAGAAACGGTGCGAGTTGCAGACGGAGAAGGACCGATTTGAAAAACGTATATTTAGAAATCCTTTCGCCGTTTCCTCTACGGTTTCCAAGTGCGTCAATGATTCAGTTTTTTTTTGTTTATTTATTTTTTTCTAAATACCTAATTACTAGCTACGCGAATGTATGAATAATTAAAGCTTATCGCGAAATTTAAATCCTGATTCCGTTTTGTTATCCAATAAGCAATATAGTTTAATCCGAGCAATAAGATCGTATTCAATTTTATTGGAATCACGATTTGCGCAAATCCTAGTTTTTTTTCCACATTAAACAAATACAACAAAATGGGATGAGTAATGTTTGATTCAAAGGAAAGTGGAAAACGCACGAATATTTATGAAAAATGACTAACATGGGATTATATTAAATCGATTGACGTATAAAGACAATTTTAAACGTAACCTTTGTCAGGGCTTCGATCAGTACGGATTCACTATAGTCAGATTTGAAAATTTCTAATTAAGCTTTTTTTTTCAACAAAGTTGATCAAGAAAAACGACTATTTTTAATAGTATAGCCTCGATTAGTCCGGATTCAAGTAGTACGGGATATTGGCAGAACCTATTTCCTTTACTATACGCACTATTGTACTAAATTCATCTCTTTTTTTTTTAATTATTTGAAGAAATAGAAAATCTAAGAATTCTTGCTAAAATACTTTTTATTGAATAATGTAAAAAAAGGAGATAGAATAACAAATAAAACTTTCATAAACATTCTTATAATTGAATGAAAAACACCTTATATTTATGTAAGAAAAGCGAACTTGAACAAAGAAATTTCAAATCGAAAACACGTGAAATTTATGCAGAAAAAATATTAAAAAAAAAATATTTTCTAACATAAAACTGTTTAGAATCTATCTCAAATTGAGGTGTTCATACAATTCTTCTATGTATAAAACACAATATTTAATCAGAAATAGATTCTAGAAAAATAATACTAGTTTTAATTCCAATCTATATTATTAAACAAATAAGTTTCTTCTATCATATTTTTTTAACCAAAAATATGTAAAATTTGTTGTTTTCTAAGCAAGCAAAGTAATATATTTTTATAGTGATATTTTATTCACAATTTGTTTTATAT